AAGACGGTATTGTAGATAAAAAACATCTGGAAAGGCACTCAAAGACGGTATTGTAGATAAAAAAAGCTTTATGAAAATGTTGTTATTGATTATTTACAGCACATAATAATTCATGTTAAAAGATATTTTAATGAGTGCTGCATGATGTTTTACCATTCAATCTGGAATGGTTATAATCCATAAAATACAAATATTTTCATTTTGTAGATTAATATTTCGAATTTTTAATAACATAGGGCGCATATGAACTTAATTAGTTAAACAACGGGCAGATTGTCTTAACCTTAACGCATGATAAATAAATCAATAAATACCGTTTTAATCATAAACGAATTTATATTTAATAATCAATATAAATTATCATTGTTTTTAGGTATCTTTACACGTGTTTGTTTTGTTTGTTGAATTTCGCGCACAGCTACACGAGGGCTATCTGCGCTGACCGTTCCTAATTTAGCAGTGAAAGACTATATATATATATATAGGGAAGGCAGCTAGTCATCACCACCCACCGCCAACTCTTTGGCCACTCTTTTACCAACGAATAATGGCATTGACCGACATGAAAGGGCAAGCATGTTTGTGAGTCGAGCGTCCTTACCACATGGCCATGCCGGGCCACACTACACGTGATTACAAGTATCTTTTTTTAAAATAGATTCGCTGAAAAGGTTCAGATAGTTGTCGAGCAACACCAAAAGAACTAACAGAAATAAAATATGATGCTAAATAACTTTAAGTATTTCACTGTCTGAAGTCGCAATTTAAAAAAAAAAGTAGAAGTAATATAAAATTACTAAGGAATGGTGGAAAGGTGTAATGTGGTGTGCATAACAAGTGGATTTCTTTTTAAAATATTTTATAAGCTATTAATCACATCAGCGAACAGAAGATATCTCATGGATCAGGTTCATCACGAAATTATGCAAGCAGTAAATAAACTGGTTTAGATAAGACACGGGAAAAATCACCAAATTTAGATCACGTAGACTATACTTTTAAACACGGACAAAGCGGAAAAGAACGAAATAACTTATTTGGTGTGTTTTTTTTTTAAATAAAACATGACAACGAGTTTTTGTTGCGAAGTAAGGAAGAAAAGAAATTTGCATTTTTAGCCTGAGAAACATCTTATGTAAAACTTGGGTTAAATGACCATCACGGAATTAGAATTGCTGATCAGAGGCAGGATAATCTGCCACCAGCACACTCCACCTACAGGGCTACTCATAATTGAATAGCAAGGTACAATCTGGTAGACTGTCACAGGTATAGTATCCCAACAATCGAATGCACGCGGCTAGAGCTTTGGACCTTCCTAACCGTAACCCGGCACGCTAATCTGTGTAGAAAGAGAAAACAGTTTGGAATCATTCCTACTATAAAGTGAAGAAAACCCGAGCATTAAGTATACTTGTAAGATTATATAAAATCACCCTTTTTGCCATTAAAGATCACAAAGGTACGTGCGTACGAACTGTCTCCCACACTTAAAGACACAGAAAACCCATTCACCTAACACTCTCTGGGTGAGAATCAACGTTTGCTGCATGGTTGAGTACCAAATCGCACGAATATAGAGCAAAGAATGAGGGCAAAGATATGTTGTATGAGAATCAATGTTTCCTGTAAGATTGTGCACAAAATTTCACAAATATAGAGCTAAGAATAAGGGCCAAGAAATATTGGGTGAGAATCAATGTTTCCTGTAAGACTGAGCCCAAAATATCTCGAATACGGAGCTACATACGCCCCCCCCCCAAAACAAAATTAGGAAAGAATCAAAGTATTTTATATTGTTGAATGAAAATCGTTATTAGTGTAAAAACAAAGTGCTGCGCAAGCTACATGAAAGTCAAGAAAGTTGGGAATAAAAATTGATATATATAACATGATTCTGTGAAAAATATTTGTCTGCGTGACAAAATTTCATCAATCCGGACTACGTAACCATTTAATAACTGTGAAATTTTCCCTCTGTGAAGACGACAACATTGTTATATTGATATGCCAAAATTATTTAAAATATATATATTTTCAGTCCTAAACTATTATTGGCGCTCAGCTTTCCTAAAGTAAGACACACAACGAAAGCAAAAATTACTCAGCCACCTTGGCGACCTAAGCTAATTTCCGATCATTTCATGTCCTGCCATAAATGTCTATTTGTGTTTCCAGTTTGATTCACCTCTTGGATATTGTTTTGACATCATATCATACTTTGTTTCAATGAGTTTGTTGAAGGACGTCGGCTTTAGACTTAAACAGATGATCATAACGTTTTTTATTAATAATAAACGTCTATTGTCGTTAAGATTTTACAATAGCTGGTTGAGGAAGATACTGATCCGATTCCTCTCTCTATCTCGCTAACGATTAACACAGTTTTTGTTTTGTTTATTTCTTCTTTAATTCTAATTTAAACTCAAGGTTTTCAAACTTTTGTTTACATATCGGGAAAGGTGCCTGAATAATAGAGAAGAACATGCACCCCTCCTAGTGGGGAAGAAGGAGAACATGCACCTCTCTTAGTAGAGAAGAAAGAGAACGTGCACTCTTCCTAGTTGGGAAGAAAGAGAACATGCATCCCTTCTAGTGGGGAAGAAGGAGAACATGCACCCCAACTAGTAGGTAAGAAAGAGAACATGCACCCCTCCTAGTGGGGAAGAAGGAGAACATGCACCCCAACTATTAGGTAAGAAAGAGAACATGCACCCTTTCCAGTGGGGAAGAAGAACATGTACCACAACAAGTAGGGAAGAAAGAGAACATGCACCCATTCTAGTGGGGAATGAGGAAAATATGTACCCCCTCCGCTTTGATTGAAGAAGATGCAAACTATAATCAATATATTTAGCCACTCTACTTTTCACACACCCCTCATCTTAAAGTTAACTCAGGCGTTCCTGGGGATTAAAATCGGTTTTCCTTTATCCACAGAAAAGTACTACCATCTGTGATGCGATCAATAAAAACCGTACTCCAATAAGATAATACACTCAATAAGTATGAATACATTTCCGCTATATCTCGAACCACGTTCGATATCAGTATTATCCTGTGATCTGTCAAACACGTTGTTAGAACGAAACAATACCATCTTTCTTTTTGTTCCGATATATAATCAGAATAAAAAGCATCATTCCAGTCTTTCACAAGCCGTCTTGGGAGTTCGAATTTGCCAAAAAATGTTTTAGTTACTGTCTTATCAACTTCTGAGACGGAAACAACGAAGTTTGAAAGAAAAACAAACAAACAAGACTTGTTGTTTATTGACTGACTGAAATAAATTAAAGTTTTCTGTTTGATAGGACTGGGATTTCAAAGGAGTTTAAATAAAAAAAATAACAAACATATACAATAAACATTGCTCCTAATAATTCTCTGGTAAAATATTGAATTGGTTTCCAACTTCTTTTTATAATAACACGTTCATTATTTTTTGGGATGTTTACAAATATTACTTTCATTAACACGCCATACCATTTTTAATGAATGAAAACTCAACTCGTAATTACATACTAAACTATCAAATTGTTTCATACGAACAACCAAACAAGCCCAGTCTTACTTTAATGATTTGAGTTCCCAGTCGGTCATCATCAGGGTTGGTTCTTTCATTAAAGCAAAATCTCTTCGTTGTTTCCCAGTCAATTTTTCTCTTCTGTAGATGTCTGTCAGCCAGAGTCAACCACAGCTAAGAAGCAAAGTTTAATTAAGCAAAGAAATTAAGCAATATGTATAACCTGTGAGTATGTGCAGTGAAAACCACACAAAATATAAAAATATCCCAAATTATATATATATCAGACAGCACGGAAATATGTGCAACTAACTACTGAGTTAAGTAACAAGTTTACATTTCCTAGTCAGTTGTAACTTACTACAGATGAATTAAACACCAAACGAGAATCTTTGCTACTAAAGGTATACTTGATGTTTTAAAATCCAGCGTTGAAATAATAGTACTTAAAAGTATTAAATAATAACTGGTAGCTTTAATTATCAATTTAATGTTCTATGACAAAATAAACTGAATTATTAGCTCGTTGATTGGATATCACGACAAAGCAACTTATATTCTAGCTCTTTGGAAATCAACTCCAGAATGCCAGTTATAAAGAACAGATAACAGTACTGGTTTGATCTGAATTTCGCCCAAAGCCACACGAGGTATATCCGCGCTGGCCGTCCATAAGTTATAAGTGATAGATTACAGGGAAGACAGCTAATTAACATCACTCACCGCCAACTTGCCAGTTACGTTTTTTATTAACGAATAGTGGGATTGACCACGGTTGAAAGGGCAAGCATGTTCGGTGACGGGGATTCGAACCCGCGACCCTTTGATTGCGAGTCGAGCGTCTTAACCACCAGGCCCTCTGTCATTTCTGATACTTGTTTATGCACGATACTTATGATCAGTTTTGCTGCTTTTTATAATAATAATTTTGAGTAATTTTTTTCAGATTACTTTTTTTTATTTAACCAAGAATATATTATTGAGTAATTTTTTTCAAATTACTTTTTTTTCATTTAACCAAGAATATATTATTGAGTAACTTTTTCTGATTAATTTTTAAAATCATAACTATTATTCAACTTTGTTAGCTTAGTATATAGATATTTAGAACTAAGCTAAATTTCCTAAGCTGGATGACCCTCGTGAGGTATTATTAGGATTAAGGCCGAAAACATCGTTAACAGCGAAATAAGACATTCACCTGTTTATTCAATGAATTCTAAGCAGTACATAGATTAGTTCTCTTGTGTAAGAATTTAAGACAGAAAGTACCTATTAGTTAGTTGCTATACAAGATTAATTTAATTAATTTACAAGTTACCTTTAATTCTGATTTATACATTTAACTTAATTTTGATAAGAATATTTTATTAATAATTATAATGTCTATTTACACACCAGAGATTAAACTAAAACCTAATACCTAATATTTTTAAACCCCTCCTCCCCAATCTTTCGCTTTACCCGAAGTTGTCGAAAAACCCGGTTGATATGTCCATTGTGACCCTAACATTGTTACAATAAAAACACCAACAAAACTAGCTATTTGTTGGATACAAATCTTAAACTCTAGAATCATTGGATATTGTGTGCCTTTATTAATTAACCAATAATCAACATGTTCTCAATCATAGGAAAGTTATCTTGGTCACAGAACAATTTGAACACACGTTAATTAACGGTCGTGACTTATTATAAACAATGCTATAACTCTAAACGCGAGTTATAAATATTCATACTTATTTCCTTACAACCATTTGATTACTCCTCTCTATCGGATTTATTGTATTTTTCTGTAAATTCGAGGGCTTATAACACTAACATTCGGGGTTCGATTCCTCCCGATGGTGCATTGCCCATAGCTCCCATTGCTCAGCATTCTATTTAAGTACAAACTTCTATCTCCTTCTACTTCATGGCTAAAACCAGTATTCTTATTCATCGTTATTTCTCGTTTCAAATAATATAAAATTTTTTAACATGAGCAAAATATAATCATTAGTCAATGTTCAGTTAGAATCAGGTAATCCTAAAAACGATTCTTAAGCGACTAATTCTGCATTATATTAAACTTTAAACGTTATTCGATAATTTCTTTCATGATAAACTTTTACAACTCAACTCTACCTTTTATTATCTTCAACTTAGAGGACAAAAGTACGATAATTGAGCTGCTTTTTTTTTAATAAATTGCAAACACAGTGTGAAAAAACAACAAGATAGATCTGGCATGTTTCACACAGAACACACAGACTTGTAATACATACATTTTATACTAGGCTGAAATTCCAACTCGAGAGACACAGTTAGATGCTAGCAAATCGAGTTACGAAAATAGTGAAACATGATTATTTATATTTTTAAAGATACGAAACACCGTCATTAGGCTCTGATTGATCAACTCACCCTTTTCCGGAATTCTGGAGGTATTCCCCCTGGAAGTCGCGCTACCATTCTCATCGCGTCGTGCCACTGAGTGAAACCGCTGTCTCCAGGGAAGGGTGTCACGCTGAACCTTATTTTGGTGTCCACACCTAGAAAATATTTACAAAGAATATAATGCTGTAGTCCGTACTTCTTTTATTTCAGTTGAGGCATTTCTCGTGAGCCTCACGCAATATGTATATTTATATATAATTAACTAAATATTTACAAATGTAAGTTGTCTCACTTTTCAGCCCAGGTAACTTATTTGGAGTCTCTAATTAACTCACCTGAAGCTATGACTGAAAATTAGAATATACCACAGAGGAGTTGTTAAAGAAGGAATCAGGATCTGGATGGTCGGTGTTGAACCCATCAGATCATTCCTTTTAGAAAATATCAAGTAAACCATTTTATTAGGTACCAAAACTGCCATCAAAATAGTAACAAAACATAAACCTTGCACTGAGACATGCTCAGACTTGTTTGGAATCTTTAACAGATATTCAGAAAACTTTTCACAGAGGAGCTGGTGGTGATGTCTCCACTTTGTGCATGCAGAATGCGCAATTATTTGCGGTTGTGTGTTTTTTTTTTGCTATACAAGAGTCCATATAGGGTAGCGAATACTCCAGAGTTGGCCTACTGCTGGATATCAAAATCAATGCACTCATCATGCGCTCTACTGTCAACTGCGATCTCGCTGAAGACCAAATGATGTTCATCCTGTCGAGTCCTCTTTCACAACATCGTTGGTCCATATAGGGTAGCGAATACTCCAGAGTTGGCCTACTGTTGGATATCAAAATCAATGCACTCACCATGCGCTCAACTGCGATCTCGCTGAAGACCAAATGATGTTCATCCTGTCGAGTCCTCTTTCACAACATCGTTGTTCCATATAGCTAGAAGGACTCACTTTAGCGATGTTTTTAGGTGAGGGGTTAGGCCCTTCCCAGGCCCTCTCTCACTTTAATCACTGCCATACAGTACCAACTAACAGAGAAGCTTAGCATTAGCGCGTTCAGATACAGGTGTAATAGGCGTGGTAGTTTAATGTTTTGTTTATTTATAGAGCAAAGCTCTGCCACCGCGAGAAATTGAACCACTGTAAGGATTTTACCACTGTAAGTTCTTAAACTTACTGCTGACGCAGCAGGGGACAGGTAGTACAATTAGTTACCACACGCACACACACACTCACACTATACCTATTATGGGACTAGGCCCCTCATGTTAATGTGGTATATTGACTAGGACCCTCATGTAAATGTGGTATATTGACCAGGACCCTCATGTAAATATGATATATTGACTAGGACCCTCATGTAATATGATATATTGACTAGGACCCTCATGTAAATGTGGTTATGATTAAGTATTCAAGGGTATATTTTTTGTGTGTGGCATCTGGAATATAATCCTCACATAACTGCGGTCCTGTTATGGTTAAGTATCTTAAAAAATATACAATACTTACATGAGGGGCCTAGTCAATATACCATACTTACATGAGGGGTCTAGTCAATATACAATACTTACATGAGGGGCCTAGTCAATATACAATACTTACATGAGGGGCCTAGTCAATATACTATAAGGAAATATTTTCTTGCTTGAGCAGTTAAAACCATATTTACAAAACCACACTCACATTCATAAGTAACAGAGGTAAAGAACTATTTATGATCAACAATACTCAAACATTACGTACATTATTTCTAGAACTACAATAAATTTTAATTATCATTAAAAGAAATGAAATTTACATTAATAATTTCAATTATTTTAGTAATGCATACATTGGTGAAAAATTCAAAAACACATTCAATCTACACGAAACGCAATGATTCTTGCATTAGTTTGAAGAAAGAGAAAAAATAAATTTAATTGTTATTATGATATATAACGCCTTATTCTGACGAAGAGTGATTTATTGATCAGTAGAGAATGGGAAAACGATGACCTTTGGTATTTGACGAAAGGCCTCGTGGGCAGTGAAGTGCAGCACACAAGTTGAACGACCAAGATGTTATGATGTTTCTTCTTAATGGAATCTGTAGTATAGGACCAGTAAAGAAAGAGTTGTAAAAATATAATCAGTATCATCAGTATTATTGTGGAGCATTGTTATATGGAATATAAATTAATAGATCACTCTTCACCAACACGAGGTTTATATAGCACAAAAGATCGCTATTTTGTATATCACTAATATAAATAGCTCTTCAAACGAGTCTATGTGTTGTATTTTTTGCCGACTTGATAATCTATAGTATTGAGCGAAAGGCCTTGTCGGCAGTAGAACGTCAAGATACTATGATGTTCTTCTTAATAGAAACCCATAGTATTGAGCCAGTAAAGAAAGATTTGTAAAATGTATTATCACTCTTATTGTGATGAATTTATTATTTATTATTTTAGATTAAAAATGTTCATTGCACACACATAAAATTATTATTTGTTATTTTAGATTAAAAATGTTCATTGCACACACACACAAAATTATTATTTATTATTTTAGATTAGAAATGTTCATTGCACACACAAAATTATTATTTATTATTTTAGATTAGAAATGTTCATTGCACACACACAAAATTATTATTCATTATTTTAGATTAGAAATGTTCATTGCACACAAACAAAATTATTATTTATTATTTTAGATT